AAGCCCCACTCTTAATCAGGAGAGGCAACCAAGGTTTACACGAGACTTCATTAAATAACCTGGTTGTTAATTGTCTCTCATCCCTCTTTCTTCCCTATTAACCCTTCTCCTGCCTCCCATTGTTTCTTTTTTAATCTCAAGCTTCTTGTGAGACACTGTCCCAAGCAGATACAAATTTTGATTAAGTGATCATTTTGCTTTTTTTTTCAGTGTGAAGGAGGCAACCTTAAAATATTGGTATATCCAAAGTAAGCAACATAGTTTTAAAAAAGAAATTCCGTTCTATAATGACAAAACATAAGCTCAAAGAATATGACTTTCAGTGTCAACTTTCCCATTTCTGAATTATTGTTTTAAAGGGCCCAGATACAGGAAGACATACATACAAGAAGATATATAAGCAGAGGTTCCATCTTATATCTAGATTCCAAATTAAGCACATCATCAACATCAGTGTCTTCAAGAGCTGCAACTGACACACTTCTCTTTGTTATGCCTTGGGAGGAAGGAATGTGTTCTGAAATCCCTTGTCTAGTGTTGTATAGAGGTGTTTATAGTGGTAGAATCTGGAGTTGCTTCTCTGTGGTTGAGCTCCCAGGCTGGAATGCAGGTCACCATAGCTGTTTTGAAATAGTTTAATAAACTCTTGTGTTCTCTAGTGAGTACTCACATTTCCCCTGTTAATTTTTATTACATTTTTACATGTGTTATGGTTTGTTTATTGGAGAAGGGCACACATGTGCAATGGTATGCTTGGAGAAGTCAGAGAATAATTTGCAGATGTTGTTTCTCTCCCTGTGTCATGTAGATGCTGAGAATAGAACTCAAGCCATTAGGCTTGGTGCAACATGCTTTAACTCCTTTGGTCAGTTTTATTACAGCAACAAAAAAGCCAATTTAGGACAGGAGGTGACTGTTTCTGTGTGGCGGCCCATGAGGACCACTTCTTTGAGTAAAATTTATATCTAGCATGTATGTCTTATGATTTTTACTTTTTCATCAACTTAATGAACTTTTAATTTGGTCAACATAAAAGTCATCCATTGTAAGTGTAAACTCCAGTGATGGTTTTGCCACAGTCCTTACAGACCAAGTGGGAAACATTTCCCCTGCTCCATGAAGATTCTTGGTTCTTTTTCAGAGCACAATCCCGCTTGCCCTCCTAACCTAGGCAGGCCTGCTTTGCTTTTGTCTATATTTGCTTTCTCTGGACTTGTCTTGTGAATAGACTTTCTTTTTTCCCCTAGATTTTTTAAATTTAAATTAGAAGCAATCTTATTTTATATATCAATCCCATTTCCATCTTCCTCCCATCCTCCCATGCCCTCACCAACCCCCATCCCATTTTCCTTCTTCTCCCCAGGAAGGGTGATGTCTCCAATCGGGGATCATCTAAGTCTGTCACATCATTTGGGGTAGGCTCTAGGCACTCTCCAGTGTGTCTAGGCTGAGAGAGTATCCCTCTCTGGGGAATGAGCTCTCAAAGTTCATTTGTATACTAGGGATAAGTGCTGCTCCACTACCAGAGGTCCCTTAGACTCCCCAGGCCTCCTAACTGACACCCTCATTCAGGGGGTCTGGTTCAGTCCTATGCTGGTTTCCCAGCTGTCAGTCTGGGGTCTGTGAGCTCCCCCTTGTTCAGGTTAGCTGTTTCTATGGGTTTCCTCTGTCTGGTCTTGAACCCTTTGCTTATCGCTCCTCCCTCTCTACAACTGAATTCTAGGAGTTCAGCCCAGTGTTTAGCTGTGGGTGTCTGCTTCTGCTTCCATCATCTACTGGATGAAGGCTCTAGATGGCACATAAGATAGTCATCAATCTCATTATAGGGGAAGGGCATTTAGGGTAGCCTCTCCACTATTGCTTAGATTGATAGTAGGGGTCATCCTTGTAGATCTCTCGACATTTCCCTAGTGCTAGATTTCTCTTTAAACCTATAATGACTCCCTCTATTATGGTATCTCTTTTCTTGCTCTCCTCTTTTCTTCCCCTGACTCAATCTTCCTGTTCCCTCACATCCTCCTCCTCCCTCCTCTTCTCCCTGTCTCTATCTCCTAGCTCCCTCTCCCCTCCCCCATGCTCCTACTTTGCTCAGGAAATCTTGTCCCTTTCCCCTTCTTTAGGGGACCCCATATGTCTCTCTTAGAGTCCTCCTTGTTTCCTAGCTTCTCTGGAGCTGTGGATTGTAGGCTGGTAATCCTTTGCTCTATATCTAATATCTATATATGAGTGAGTACATTCCATGTTTGTCTTTTTGTGACTTGATGAACAGACTTCCTATACCCAGCCTTTCACATGTGACTTTTTTTTCTTAGCGTGCTTTGGAGATTTATTGTTGGCATGTGCATGAGTAGCCTGTTCCACTTGTTGCTCAATACTATTCCAGGTAGTTTCCACACATTCATCCTATGTGTTTAACTGTGGTGAATGTAAAGTTTGTTTCCATATTTTCACCACCATTAAGAATGCTGTTGTAGCCAGGTATTGGTTGCTCACACCTTTAATCCCAGTACTTGGGAGGCAGAGGCAGGCGGATCTCTGTGAGTTCGAGACCAGCCTGGTGTACAATAGCTAGTTCCAGGGCAGCCTCCAAAGCCACAGAGAAACCCTGCCTCGAAAAACCAAAAAAAAAAAAAAAAAAAAAGAATGCTGTTGTAATCGTTCATACATAAACCTCATGTGGGCCTGTCTCATTTGTCTATTGGTACATTCATGGATGTGGGCCTGTTCTCATTTGTGTATTGGTACATTTCTGCATGTGAAATTATTGAATTACATGGCAGGTTTGTATTAGGTTTTTTGTCATAGTGGCTCTACTGTTTTTACATTTCTAGCACCAGTTTGTGAAGGCGCCAATCTGTCTACATACAACTGATATTGCTTACTACTGTTTGTCTTTTATATTGTAGTCATTTCTTTTGTATTTACCTACTGGCAGTGCCACTGAGTGTCTTTTCATGTGGTTATCTGCCATGCAGGTATCTTAGGTTTGGTATTTTCCATGTCTTTTGCTCATCTTCACATTCGTTACCTTTTTGCTGAGTTTTATGCATCCTTTTTTTTTTTTTGCTTGTTCCAATAAGACTTTATTAGCAGAAGCAGATGGAGAATAGGCCTGTACTGCAGGCTTCTGGTTCAATGGTCTGGAGGCTACTGACATGGGCTTCTTGGGTCTGTGAAGTCAGTTCCATGTCTCTTCAATATTGTACTTGAAGTTCTAGCTACAGCAATAAGACAACAAAAGGAGATCAAGGGGATACAAATAGGTAAAGAAGAAGTCAAGCTTTCACTATTTGCAGATGATATGACAGTTTACATAAGTGACCCGAAAAACTCCGCAAGGGAACTCCTAGAACTGTTAAACACCTTCAGCAAAGTGGCAGGATACAAGGTTAACTAAAAAAAAAATCAGTGGCCCTATTATATACAGATGATGAAGTGGCTGAGAAAGAAATCAGAGAAATATCACCATTTGCAATAGCCATAAACAGCATCAAATATCTGGGGATAATGTTAACCAAGGAGGTGAAAGACCTGTATATCAAGAACTTTGAGTCTTTAAAGAAATAAATCAAAGAGGATACCAGAAAATGGAAAGATCTCCCATGCTCTTGGATTGGTAGGATCAACATAATAAAAATGGCAATCTTGCCAAAAGCAGTCTACAGATTCAATGCAATCCCTACCAAAATTCAGGCACAATTGTTCACATACCTTGAAAGAACATTAATAAACTTTATATGGAAAAACAAAAGGCCCAGGATAGCCAAAAAACAACCCTATACAATAAAGGAACTTCAGGAGGCATCCCCATACTTGACTTTAAGCTCTATTATAGAGCTATAGTCCTGAAAACAGCTTGGTATTGGCACAAAAATAGACAGGTAGACCAATGGAACCTAATTGAAACCCTGATTTTAACCCACACACCTATGAACATTTATGCATCATTTTATATCCTGGTTGTATTCCTGTGGTAGATATGTCTGTGTACTACATATGTGTGGTGCCTATTGAGGTCGGAAGAGGGCATTGGTTTCCCTAGCATTGGGGCCACAGGTAGTTGTGAGTCATTATATGGGCTCTGGGCATGAACCCAGGTCCTCGTAAGAGCAACCACTGCTCTTAACCCCTGAGAGATCTCTTCAGGCCCTATTGTAAATTTTTTCAGAATTCTTTTTGGCTAGATTATGGGGAGGAGATTTATATTTCCATGTAAAACTTAGGGTAGTTTTGTTTCTATAAAACTATGTTGAGGTTTTATAGTAATTATACTGAATTTGAAGTTCAATTTAAGGATCATTGGCATCTTAATGTTGTAACCTGAGCCACAGGATGCCTTTTTACTTATTTAGGTGTTGCTTAGTTTTCCTCAGCAATGCTTTAGCGTTTTTGATAGACAAGTGTTGCTTTGGGAGTAAAATGACTCCCAGTTGCTCCATTCAATTTCTTGTTAATATAAATGGAATTTCCACAATTTCAATATTGGATTACTGTTTATTGCTGTTACATGGTTATAAAACAATTTTTTTGTTCAATATATTGAATGTGTATTTTGCAACTATTTTAATTTTATTAGTTTTAGTGCATTCCTAAGAATTTCTCTCCTACAAGATCATATAACCAGCGAGTAGAAGCTGATTTATTTCTTCTTTCTTTTCACCATGGAAAACTTAAGATCATTCTTTTCTAATTTTTATGCCTTATTGAACTGGTTAGAATTGTAAATATAATATGAACAGCAACAAATAAAAAAGCAGTAGCAGAAGTCCTTGCATTGTTCAATGTTAAAGTGAAAGCAGCTCATGTTTTATTAAGTATGATACTAGGTAAAGGTACAAGATAGTTTATTATGAGAAGTTTCCTTTTCCCTAGTTTCTTTAAAGTTTTATGTGTATTAATATTATTAAAAATGAAATTACATGTAATCAAGTTGTATATATTCATTTTAAAGATGTATTCATTCTTATGTCTGTGTTTTGCCTTTATGTATGTCTACATAGCACACCTGGAAGTACTCATGGAGTCCAAAAGAAGGCATAGGATCCACCGGACCTAGCATTACAGACAGTTGTGAGTCGTCATGTGGGTGCTGGAGATGGAACCCAGGTCCTTAACCAGTGAGAAAACTTTCTAGCTACTCTTCCTTGCTTTTTGATGAGACAGGGTCTCATTATGTAGCCCTGACTGGCATGACCTTGCTGTGTAGACCAGAATGGCCTCAAACACACACAGATCTACTTGCCTCTGCCTTCCAGGTGCTGGGTTGCAGGTGTCTACCATCACGCCATGTCAGTTCAGGTTTGTTTCCTTTTTTTTTAAAAGTAGAGTCTCATGTGGTCTAGGTTGTCTTTGAGCTGCTGATTGTCTTGCCTCCACCCCCCAGAGACTGGGATTATAGATGTATATATACCACTACTCATGGCCTGTGATGGGGTTTTGCATTTGTATACTTTGTGGAGTGGTTACTGTAATTAATATGTTTATCATGTATAATTACTATTTTTTGTGAGAACATTCAATACCTACTTTCATCAATTTCACTATTATGATACATTATTAACTCTAAAAATCAAATTTTACAATGTTTTCAGAACTTATTTATCTTATTGCAGACTTCTTTTTTTTTAAGCCATCTGACCGAAACCCTCCCATCTTCTTTACCATACAAGCCCAGTAACCACCTTTCCACTCCATTTCTATAGGTTAAACTTCTTTATTTTACAACATTCTCTGGATTTATCCTTGGTGCAATTGCCTGAATTTCCTCTGTTAAGGACATAGCGTTTCATTATACACATAGCTACACCCATGTATTGCCTTCTTAGCATTCCTTTGATGGGTCTTTTGGTTATTTCTAGAACTTGCTATTGTGAACAATGCTGTTGAGAACAAGGAACTGAGATATCTCTATGATAATGGTTTTCAGTCCTCTGAGTATGTACGCAAAGGAGGATTGCAGGGTTTCTTTCATTTTTTACCCAGTTAATGTGACTTGTATTGACTGATTTTTAATTTAACCTTAAATGCCAGCAATCAACCTCACCTTCTGTGGTGTTAATCTTTTTAACACAATGTTGATTTGGTTTGTTAATTATTTTGAGTGGTTTTGCATTGATGCCCATAGACTTGGTCCAGTGATTTTTTTTTCTTTCTTGTGTTTTTCTCTGACTATGGTATCACAATGCTGATATATACTGAGTTGAGAACTTTTCTTGCCCCTTAATTTTTAAAATTAATTAACATTTTTCATTTATTTTACTTATTGACCACAGTTTTCCCTCCCTTCTCTCCTCCCCCCTTCCATCTATCCCCTTCCCCATCCACTCCTCCATCATTCAGAAAGGGGCAGGCCTCCCATGGTCTTGAATAAAGCATGGACCGAGCTCCTCCTTCTGCATATAGGCTGGCAATCCAACATGGGGAACTGGCTCCCAAAAGTCAAGTGCCAGGGACAGGTCCTGATCTCCCTTTTAGGAGCCTTACAAACAAACCAAGCTACACAACTGTCACATGCGTTCAGAGGGCCTAGATTGGTCCCATGCAGGCTCCCTAACTGTTGGTTCAGAGTCCATGTGCTCCCAGGAGCTCAGGACAGCTGCCTCTGTGGGTTCCTCTGTCATGACCTTGATACCCTCTCCATCCCTCCCCTCTTTCTTCAGGAGGAGGAGTTCCAGAGCTCAGCCCAGTGCTTGGATGTTACTCTCTGCATCTGCTTCCATCAGTTATTGGGTAAAGGCTCTCCAATGACAATTAGGGTAGTCACTGATTGATCACAGGGGAAGGCCAGTTCTGGCACCCTCTCCACTATTGTTAGGAGTCTTATCTGGGATTATCCTTGTGGAATCCTAGGAGTCTCTGTGGCATCAGGTTTCTCCCTAGCCCTGAAATGTGCCCCCCCCATCAAAATGTCTCTTCTGTTACTTCCTTCTCAGTCCTGTCCCCAGTCTCCCCAGCACACCCCCTCAAGTTCCCATCACCCCATCCTCCCCACATCTGCCCCAGTTTACCCAGGAGATCTCTTCTATTTCCCTTTCCTAGGGAAATCATGCATCCCTCTTTGGGGCCCCTCTGTTATCTGTGGATTGTAGGTTGGTTATCCTACACTTTACTTGTAATATCCACTTATGAGCTATGTTTGTCTTTCTGGATCTTGGTTACCTCACTCAGACTGATTATTTCTAATTCTGTCCATTTGCCTTCAAGTGTCCTGTCCTCCCCCCTCAATTTCCACACATGAGAGAAAGCATGTAACACTTATTTTGTGAATCTGGTTTATCTTGTTTAAAATGATGATGTATCCATATTCCCAAAAGAGAAATAATTTTCTTTTTTTATGGCTGAATAATGCTACAGTATTGTTTTGTATGCACCATACTAGTATATTATGTATGCACAGTGTTTTCTTCATCTGTTCATCTGTTGATAGGTGGATTCATGCGTAGGAAATTTTGAATAGTATAATGATACATGATACACAGGGGTGTGCATCTATCTCTATAGTAAGCTGATTATGTGTCTTAAATATAAACCTAGAAAAGGCATTCTAGTGTAATATAGTAGTTTATCAGTAATCTTTATAATTAATTTCACAACAGAAGCACTAATTTACATTCCACTAGAGTGTAGAAGGGTTTCCTCTTGACATCTTTGCCAGTTTTTTTTTCCTGGATGGTAGCAATTTTGACTGGAATGAAATGGGATCTCAATATAAGTTTAATTTGCATTTTCTTGGAGACCGAAGATGTACTTTTTAGTGTATTTCCTGAATATTTGTATATCCATTTGTTTAGTTCTCTTGTCCATTTATTGATCCAACTATTTATTATTTTGGTGCTTAATTTCGTTTTTAGTTCTTTATATGTCTTGGATAGTAATTCCCTCTCAGATACATAGCTAGGAAAATTTCTCTCCCATTACACAGGGTTTCTCTTTACTCCAGTAATTGATTCTTATGCTCAGCAGATTTCAATTTGCTGCTCTCCAACTAATTGATCATTGCTGTTCTTTCTTGAGCCAACAGAGTCCTTTACAGAAAGTCATTGTCTATATTTATCCATCGCAGTGTTTCCCCTATGTTTTACTCTAGCGGTTTCAGATATTTCTTATGGCCCTCAATGTAATTTGAATTGATTTTTTTAAACAGGGTGAGAGATAGGAATCTAATTACATCCTGCTGTATGTGAATATACAGTTTCCTCAGCATCATTTGTTGAGGAGGCTGTCTTTTCTCCAATGTATGTAAGAATAAAATGGCTGTAACTTAAGAACTTACTTCTGGGTCCTCTATTTCTATTCTGTTTATTAGCATATCTGTTTTTGTGCTGGTAGGATGGTGATTTTGCTGGTATGGTTCTATATTTTAATTTGAAATCAGATATTATGATACCGTTGGCACTGTTCATTCACTTAGGATTTCTTTGGCTACTCAGCATCTTTTGTGCCTCCATATGAACTTTAGGATTGCCTCTGTACTGTGAAGAATGTCTTTAGATTTTAAGTCTTGAACTTACTTTATTTCTTTCATCTGTTTATCACCTTTATGAGGACATTAGTCATTAAAAAACGAAAACAAACCTAAAAAAAAAAAACTAGGCAGCGTCTTCCATCCCAGCAGCAGGAACCAACGCACCATAGTCTCCTGCTCCACCCACGGGTCCAGGTAAACCAGGGCCCATTTCCGGGTGCTTGGGGGCTGCCACTGCGGCTTCCATCCCAGAGGCAGGAGGTAAGGCACCCCAGCAGCCTAATCTTCAGCTCTACCCATGGGACTAGGCAGGGTACCTGTGCTTGGAGTCTACCACCGTGGCTTCTATCCCAGTGTTGGAAACCAAGGCACGCTAGTCTCCTGCTCCACCCATGGGACCAGGTAAACCAGGTCCGATTTCCGGACCGCCTGCCTGGACCTAGGCTCAGCCACTGAGGCTTCCATCCCGGCAAAGGTAGGAGTAAAGGTACTGTAGTTTCCTGCTCCAGCCACGGAACTAGGACTAGACTGGCTGCAGGTGCTTGGGGATAGCCACTGCAGCTTCCATCCCAGAGGCAGGAGCAAACTCACCCCAGCATCCTAGTCTCCTGCTCCACCCACGTGTCTAAGACTATCAGGGCCTGTCTCCAGGCCACACTCCTGTGCCTGGAGTATACCACTGGGGCTCCAATCCATCCCAGTGGGATCCAAAGCACCCCAGCATCCTAGTCCATCTCTCCACCCACAAGACCAGGAAGTGGAGAGCTACCTCAACAGTGAACTTGCCTACACCCACCAGAAGGGAACCCTGGTCCCACACACACCAGGAGAGGAAGAGGCACCCTCTGGAACCCACTGCAAGAACGGATGGGAAGGAGACAATATAAAAACACAAGGAGCAATAGAAAAACCAATATGACACTGCCAGAGTCCAGAGACCCTACACCAACAAGACTGAAACACCCCAACACAAGTGAACCAGAAGAGAATTACATAAAAAACAACTTCATGGAAATGGTAGAGGCCCTCAAAGAGGATATGAGAAAATCCCTTAAAGAGATGGAAGAAAAAACAATCCAAAAACTTCAAGAAATGGAGCAAAAGACAAAGCAAAAATTGCAAGGAACAATTCAAACAGTGCAAGGGCTGAAATCTGAAATAGAAACAATAAAAAAACACAGTCTGAAGAAAGGCTGGAAATAGAAAAACTGGGGAAATGGTCAGGAACCACAGATGCAAGCGTAACCAACAGAATACAAGAGATGGAAGAGAGAATTCAGGTGTTGAAGATACACTAGGAGAATTAGATTAATCGACCAAAGAAAACATTAAGTCCAACAAATCCCCAACACAAAATATCCAGGAAATATGGGACACCATGAAAAGTCCAAACCTAAGAATAATAGGTATAAAAGAAGGTGAAGAAACCAACCTCAAAGGGCCAGAAAACATATTCAACAAAATAATAGAAGAAAACTTTCCCAACCTAAAGAAAGACATGCCAATGAAGGTGCAAGAAGCTTACAGAACACCAAATAGAGTGGACCCTCCAAAAATCCCCTCAACACATAATAATCAAGACCCCAGATATACAGAATAAAGAAAGAATATTAAGAGCAGCTAGGGAAAAAGGCCAAGTTACATATAAAGGCAAACCTATCAGAATTACACCTAACCTCTCCATGGAAACTATGAAAGCCAGAAGGTCCTGGACAGATATTCCAACCAACGTTAAGAGACCACGGATGCCAGCCAAGACTGCTATACCCAGAAAAACTTTCAATCAATATAGATGGAGAAAACAAGATATTTCATGACAAAACCACATTTAAAC